GAACCACTCTCAGTCCTGCCACTGTTAGCATGGCTCTTCAACCCTGCCACTGCTGGCATCCTGCACGGCCTCATGGAGGTGAGCGATGGAAGGAGGAGAGGCATGTGGCATGTTGACGAACCACTCTCAGTCCTGCCACTGCTCAGCATGGCTCTTCAACCCTGCCACTGCTGGCATCCTGCACGGCATCATGGAGGTGGTGGGGGCAGGCGAGGCAAGGCAAGGCATGCGGGTTGGAGGTGAGAAGGGCAGGAGAGTCGAGGCAAGGCATGCGTCATGTTTATTAACCACTCTCAGTCCTGCCACTGCTGGCATTCTGCATGGCGTCATGGAGGTGAGCTCTGAGGTGGGTGGGGTAGGCAAGGCATGCATCATACGGCATAGAGGTGAGCTTTAAGACGTCTCAAAGGTCATGCAGGCGACAGGTGCTCAAATGCCAATGGAATTCTGCAAGGCAAATCCATTTAACCATGTCCAAAACAAGTGATAGCATTGTCTCCTGTTTGTCAAACGGGTGGGGTGTTCTCGAGAACCACTCTTCGCCAGATGGCATGCCTCGCCACTCAACCCCCTTGATGAGTCGGTTTTTGAGTCGCCAGATGGCATGCCTCTCGAGTCCACTCATCACACGCGGGTTCTCAAGAACCACTCTTCGCGAGATGGCATGCCTCGCCACTCAACCACCTTCCTCCCTCCCTCCTGCCACCGCCCAGGCAGCAGCTATTCTTGGGTCAGCCTGTGTGGCCGTGCAAGCAGTCGTGCTTGCGTCCTCTCTCGCCTCCTCCATCCCCTCCCGCATCTCCCTCTCCTGGCCCAAACCCTCCTCCTCCCCTTCCTCCACTCCCTCCCCCTCTCCATCCTCCTCCTCACCATCTCATCCCTCCTCTCCCACCTCTGCTGCTACAGCAGCATCTGTGTCAGCAGCAATCGAACAGCTGCTGCCACCAGCAGCCAACACCCAAGTCACGTCGCTAGCGACAATCCCAACACCAGGTGCGTTATGTGCTTCCCCTTCCTCCTCTCCTTCCTCTTCTTCACCCTACCTCTGCTGAAGCAGCGGCTGTGACAGCAGCAATTGAACTGCTACCACCACCACCAGCAGCCAACACCCAAGTCACGGCGCTAGCGACAATCCCAACACCAGGTGCGTTATGTGCTTCCCTTTCCTCCTCTTCTCCTCCTCTGCTACAGCAGCCGCCGTGACAGCAGCAATTGAACAGATGCTACCACCAGCACCAGCAGCCATCACCCAAGTCACCACTCTGATGCCCATGCCTGTGCAAGGTGTGTTAAGGTGTGCATGCCTGCTGTAGCGTCTACTGCACCAGCAGCAAACATATGTATATACACTACATTCTATAACATATCTCTGTATGTATGTATGCACTCTAAACACTCCCGCCCCTCCGCCCCACCGTTTTCCCCCAGGCAGCACTCCCTCATCTCTCGTGCTGTTCAATCCGAACCAACTCCCGGCCCTCTCAGGCCTGGGCATGAGAGAAATAAGGGTGGAATCTCGCTCCTCCGTCACTTTACCTGGTGTTGGTGCTGCTGCTGCGGGTGGAATTGGAGGAGGTGGGGGTGGGGGTGGTGGAAACGGTAGCATGGAATTGCAAGCAACAGGCAGGAGCGCTTCATCTGCTTCTCCCTCCTCCTCTGCTGCGCTGCCCTCCTTGCTGGATGATAGGGCGCTCTGGGTGGTGTGTGCTGTGCGCCTGCTGCTGCTGCCCATGCTTGGGACCATTGGAATCATGGTGAGAGAGGCATGCCGCCCATGCCATGCTGAAGCATGCCGCCATGCCATGCTGAGGCATACACCCATGCCATACAGAGGCATGAAGCCCATAGCCCTTAAAATAGAGGAGAGGGGAGGTCTCTTCCATGCCCATGCTCGGGACCCTCTCACTTACACCGTCTCCCCTCCCATTCCTCGTCTCCATCTCTTTTCTTCGCTTCCCATGGTTGGCACCATGGCAATCATGGTGAGGCGTTGGCCTCTTCCTCTCTCTCGCTCTCTTCCACCTCCCCTCTTTCCGTCCTCTCGTCTTCCTCCCTCTCTCTTCCGCCTTCCCCTTTCGCCTTCCCTCGTCCGCCCTCCCCTTTCCGCCCTACCCTTTCCGACCTCCCCTTTCTGCCCTCCCGTTTCGCCCTCTCCTTGCTTCTCAGGTGCTGTACAAAGCCGGGCTGATTCCACAAGACCCCATCTGTGCCTTTTGAGTCGATTCAAACGTCGTCACCCCCTATTCGCCCTCCCCTTTCCCCCCTCCCCTTTGCTTCTCAGGCGCTGTACAACGCCAGGCTGATTCCCCAAGACCCCATCTGTGCTCTCACCCTCATGGTCAGTGCTTCCCCCCCCTCTTTCCCTTCCCTCGACCACCACAAAGCCCTGTTTTTGCTATCACCCTCATGGTCAGTGTAGCGCTTCCTTCCTTTTGAAACGTGGCTTTTCCTATCTACACGTGGCTTTTGCTATCACCCTCATGGTCAGTGTAGCGCTTCCTTCCCCGCCCTTTCGCCTTCTCGCCTAGTACTGCTCTCATCTCCTTGTCATCTCCTATCATGGCGATATATATTAATTCTGTCTCTGTGTATTCTCCTCCCATGTGCTGTTATTAGTAAACAGGTGGGCTGCGGAGGTCTGACGTCCATCAATTTGGATGTGTATTCTCCTCTCCTCCCATGTGTGAGCCCCTTGGATCCAAACAGACTTTTGAGACGTCTCAACAGTCCTCTCATGTGTGAGCCCCTTGGATCCAAACAGCATCGAATCTCATTTACGTGTCTCTCCTCTCCTCGTCTCTCCTCCACTCTCCTCCTTTCCCCTCTCCCATCAGATCCAAACCGCCATGCCATCGGCACAGAATCGATTTTTGAGGCGGCTCAAAAGCCATCGGTACAGAATCTCGTGCTCATGGCGCAATTCATTTTCTACCTTAAATCAGAAACCCTACACCCTTTTCTCCCCTCTCCTCTCCCCCCTCTCCCCATCAGATCCAAACCGCCATGCCGTCAGCACAGAATCTCGTGCTCATGTCGCAGCTCAGCCCCGCCACCAAGCCTCTGGCGGGAATGCTGGCCTCGCTCATGCTGCGACAGGTGGGTGTGTGGGGTGTGTGTACATTTTTTTTGGCAAACGATGTCTCTGTGTACATGCCACGGCCCAACCCAATAGCAATACCCAAGCCTCCCCCTCTCTTGCATCTTTCCCCTCCTTCCCCTGCAGTACGCCATTACCATGCTCCCTATCACAGTGTGAATCACAGTCTTCCTACAGCAATCCACAAGCCTTATTAACATACTCCCATCTCCCTCGCTTTCAACCCTCTCCCTCTCTTGCATCCCTCCCCTATCCTCCGTCCCCTTGCAGTACGCCATATCCATGCTTCCAATCACAGTGTGGATCACAGTCTTCCTACTGCAACCCACATGCTGTTCAACCCCACCCTCCCCCCATGCCTCCCTCTCCCCCGCTACACCTCCCCTCCGTCCCCTGCAGTACGCCATATCCATGCTCCCAATCACAGTGTGGATCACAGTCTTCCTCTCACGCCTCAACATGGCCATATGAAAGCGGCAGCATAACCGCCTCAAGGCACGAGGGCAGGCACGAGCACTTCTCAGGTGTCTGCCTCCACACGTGTCTTCCTCTCACACCTGCACATCACTACTTTGAGACGTCTCAAGGTCACTATTGAGTCGACTCCAAAGTCACAAGCACTTCTCAGGTGTCTGCCTCCACGCGTGTCTTCCTCTCATACCTGCACATCAGTACCACCTTGAGACGTCTCAAGGTAGACGGGGTGACTCTCAAGCCGTCTGGGTTGCACAAGGAGGTTCTTTCGCGTGTGATGAGGCGATTTTCGAGTCGACTCAAAAATCGCCTCCCAAGCCGTCTGGGTAGCACAAGGAGGTTCTTTCTTTCTCTGTTGCCTCAACATGACCAAACGAAGGCGTCAGCATACCCAACTGGGGACAAGAGAGCACGAGCGTTCTTCGAGAGCTTCAAAATCAAAAGCCGCCTCCGCTCACGCTTCAACATGGCCATCTGGAGACGCGGCACGTCAACACTTGATGGAGGAGCGTTCTTTATGTGAGAGTGACACAACAGCATACACGTGTACATGATGCGCTTTCCATGCCTCAGCTTCGTTGTTCGAAGCATACTGGTTACGTGTAGCTTCAAATAAGATAGTTAGCTGTTCAGAGTGTAAAAATAAGCAGGAAATCTCATTACACTTCCATAGCTCCTCTAGTCGCACAACCTTAGCAGAGAACACACTACCAGACCAGACCACAATACCATGTTGCTCTCTGCAGCAGCAGCGACCGGAGAAGAACTGGAAGCGGAAGCAGAACCTGAAATTCTGAAGGACACTCAATAGCAGCCATTCAGCAACACCTTAGTCAATAACAAATCCTTGGATGTCTCAACTTTACGACATATCCTCTTAACATCATTCACTTAGTATATTATGTATATTATAGACATAAGCGAATAGGTATACACTAGCTTAGATTTTGCAAACTCGCACCCGCTGACTGCAATTTCAACTGCAATCCTCATGTGTTTTCTGCTGTGCGCTGACCCAGCCAGACACAGCTCCAAACCAGTCGAAGAATTTCAACACCAGGCCCTTCCTCACCAGACCAGTCACAGTACCGAGCCGCTAAGCTCTCACCGCCAAGCCCCAAACCAAACAATACGAGCCAAACCAGACAAAGGGAACACAACCATACCATACCATACCAGACATCATGTCTCTCACGATTCGCGACTGGCTCCACCAAGTTGTTGACGAGTCTCCTCGCGTCTCGGGAATTATATTTCGTCAGTCAACGCCCGATCGACTCGAGGATGGATTGTGAGAAAGCTGTTGCCTATAAGTTGCTCCCTCAGTTCAACCTCTTGCCATCTCAAACTTTCTGCTCTGCTTTCTCCCATCCATCCAACGTCTATCGATCTCGCCTCAATACCAATTCACTTCACGATTCCGAAAGCCATGGCAGCCAGGGGATATATTTTCGTATGCATTGCGCTCCTCCTTGCGACTTCCGCGGCCGCGCAGCGTGGACCGCCTGGCGGAGGCCCTCCCGGAGGCCAGCAGTCCGGAGGGGCGCGCGGAGGACCTGGCGGACCCGGGTCTGGCGGGCCTGGCGGGCCTGGTGGGCCTGCTGGTCCGCGCGGTCCTCCGTTCAACTTGACGGTCGTCGGAAATCTGACGGCGGACGTCGGCGCGCGATTGGCCAATTGCTCCGCAGACGAAACCTTTCTCGACGGCCGCTTTCACCTCGCCATCTTTAAGTGAGCTTCGATGTTACCGTAACCCTAACTTTCGCGGGCCTCCTTTCGTCGGATTTTCTCGTTCATTTAGCTTCAGCGTCGCAAATTCTTCTCCTCTTGGTTGCAGATATTACAATTTCGATGCGCTTCGTGAAACTGATTCGTTCTTCTGTTCCCTTCCCCCTCCGCCAGGAACGCGAGCGGCAACTACAACCTGGCGGTCGACGCGCTGCTCGTGGGCGCCACGGGTGGGCCGCCCGACTCCCTCGCGATCGTGAAGGGCGCCGTCTGCGACTCTTCCGCCTCCGCCGCCGCGATCCTCGCGATTCCGCTGGCGGAGTCCGACTGGCAGCAGCGCGAAGGCTGGTGGCTGCTGCACGCGGAGGCGCGGCTCGACGCGTTTCTCGAGAACGCGGACGCCGCCACCGTCGAAGCGCTCCTCGCGCTCCTCCCTAACGCGACGCTCCCGGCGGCGCGCGGCGGCGGCGGACGTGGAGGGAGCTCGGGCGGCACGCGGAGCGGGCAGGGCAGCAGGCGCATGGGGAGGGAGCTGCTGATGCGCGCAGCGGGGCGCGTCACCGGCGCCAGGCAGGGGGGGCAGCAGCAGGGGGCGCCACGGCAGCCGCCTGCAGGTGGTTCCTCAGGTGGATACCCAGGCGCTGGGGGCGCGGGGGGGATGATGGGGGGTGGCGGGGTGAACGCGACTGTGAGTGGGTATGCCGTGCTGGCCACTGCCACTGCGGGGGGTGTGGCGTGGGGCGGCCAGCTCATGGGCGTCAAACTGCCCTCCGCCGCTGCCTGATGTGATGGCGGTGCTGCTGGCGGCTTTGCGCTGCCACTTGGGGGGGGGGGGGGGGAGGGAGGGGGAGAGGGGGGGGAGGGGGGGGGGGAGGGGGGGGGTGTGGCGTGGGGCAGCCAGCTCATGGGCGTCAAACTGCCCTCCGCCGCTGCCTGATGCGTTGCTGCTGCCGTCGCTGCTGCTGCTGCTGCTGCTTGCCGTCGCTGCTGCTGCCGTTGCCGCTGCTGCTGCCGTCGCTGCTGCTGCCGTTGCCGCTGCTGCTGCCGTCCCTGCCGCCGCTGCTGCTGCCGTCCCCGCCGCCGCTGCTGCCACGGCTGTTGCTGCTGATGGTGGCGGTGTTCCATTGTGGTTCCGTTCCTTGCTGGGGATGGAGTAGCAGATCCCAATTCAGGGTTCTTTTAGCTTGGAGTTTTGTTATGGGGTGTTTTTGTTAGGAATGAGCATCAGGGGCAGGAATGCTGGCAAGACACCAGGCTAGATTTCACCAGCTGACTTGCCAGTCTTCCTGCCGTTGCCTTTGCTTACCGTATTATATCTGCGTAATGTAATATTGCTTTGAACATGTTCTTTCAGGAGTAACCGTGTGGTGTGTTTGTATTAGGAGGAATGAGCATCCAAGGCAGGAATGCTGGGAAGGTACTGGGTTTGTTTCCACCAGCTGACATGCCAATCTTCCTGCCTTTGCCTTTGCTCATTGTCCACAGATTTACCTTCTCCTTTTAAAGATGCTCATGTGTTCAGATCATGTGTTCAGTAGTCTACACTGTTTAGCACTGTACACATTCGCACAATGCTGAAATCTGTGAGCCTGGTTCTACCCAATGCTGATTAAGAATCTCGTCAATACCATGCGCTTCACACACCAAGGGATGCGAAGGTAATATGTAGCTATTTTACTACCAATGTTCCATCTTGAAAATAATATAATATGAATAATCATCTCCCTTTTTTCTCATCTTGTAAACTGTGTACGAGAGGCCTCTTTTGTGATGCTTGCTCACAGGAGTGTACCCCGAGGCTGGATGTTTCGTGATTCTCCATCATGTTTGCACTTCTCGTGTCTTCATATGGCCATGTTGAGTCGCGAGAGGAAGACCGTGATCCACACTGTGATTGGGAGCATGGCAATGGCGTACTGCAGGGGATGGAGGGGAGGGATGCAAGAGAGGGGAGGGGGGGGGGGGGGGGGGGGGGGGGGGGGGGGGGGGGGTGGATTTTGATATAGCATGTGGGTTGCCCTGGGAAGACCGTGATCCACACTGTGATTGGGAGCATGGCAATGGCGTACTGCAGGGGGAAGGGTTGCAAGAGAGGGGGAGAGGGAGGGGAGGTGGGGAGTTTTGCAAGAGAGGAGGAGAGGGAGGGGAGATGGGGGGTTTTGCAAGAGAGGGGGAGAGGTGGAAGTTAGGTGGAGGAGACTGTGATTCACACTGTGATGGGGAGCATAGCAATGGCATACTGCAGGGGAAGGAGGGGAGAGGTAGTGGGGGAGTAGAGGTTTGGGAGGCTTGAGAGTTGCAGTAGGAAGACTGTGATCCACACTGTGATTACAGTGGAAATGGCAATGGCACACTGCAGGGGAAGGAGGGGAGGGATGCAAAAGAGGGGGAGAGGTGGAAGTTAGGTGGAGGAGATTGTGATCCACACTGTGATGGGGAGCATGGAAATGGCGTACTGCAGGGGACATGTGGATGGGGTGGATGGGGAGGATAGAGAGAGGGGGAGGGGGAGGGATGGGGGTTTGAAAGGCACGTGGGTTGCTGTAGGAAGACTGTGATTCACACTGTGATTGGGAGCATGGATATCACATCCTGCTGGGGAAGGAGGGCGGGGGAGATGGGGAGGATAGTGGGGGGGAGGGAGAGTAGAGGTTTGGGAGGCATGAGAGATGCCGTAGGGAGACCGTGATCCACACTGTGATTGGGAGCATGGCAATGGCGTACTGCAGGGTACGGAGGGGAGGGTTGCAAGAGAGGGCAGGGGTGGAATGGAAGCTAATGAGGCATGTGGATTGCACAGGGAGACTGTGGATCCACACTGTGATTGGGAGCATGGCAATGGCTTTTGAGGTGCCTCAAAAGTCATGGCAATGGCATACTGCAGGGGACGGAGGGGAGGGTTGCAAGAGAGCCCACCGTTCCACCACCCACCTGTCCGCAGCATCAGGGACGCCAGCATTCCTGCTAGAGGCTTGGTGGCTGGGCTGAGCTGCGCCATGAGCACCCATTCACACAAAGCCCACCATCCCATATCCCCCATCGCCATCCCCCCTCCTCGTTCCTCACACGCACACCCATCTGTGGAAGCATCAGGGAGGCCAGCATTCCTGCCCGAGGCTTGGTGGCCGGGCTGAGCTGCGCCATGAGTGAGCACACAAACAAACATACAGCCCAGCCGTCCCCCCTTTTTCACCCACCTGTCGCAGCATGAGCGAGGCCAGCATCCCTGCTAGAGGCTTGGTGGCGGGGCTGAGCTGCGCCATGAGTGAGAACACAAACAAACATACAGCCCAGGCGTCCCCCCTTTTTCACCCACCTGTTGCAGCATGAGGGACGCCAGCATTCCTGCTAGAGGCTTGGTGGCGGGGCTGAGCTGCGCCATGAGTGAGCACACAAACTTACAGCCCAGCCGTCCCCCCTTTTTCACCCACCTGTCGCAGCATGAGAGCGGCCAGCATCCCTGCTAGAGGCTTGGTGGCTGGGCTGAGTTGCGCCATGAGTGAGCACACAAACTTACAGCCCAGCCGTCCCCCTTTTTTCACCCACCTGTCGTAGCATGAGCGAGGCCTGCATTGTTGCCAGAGGCTTGGTGGCGGGGCTGAGCTGCGCCATGAGTGAGCACACAAACATACAGCCCAGCCGTCCCCCCTTTTTCACCCACCTGTCGTAGCATGAGCGAGGCCAGCATTATTGCCAAAGGCTTGGTGGCGGGGCTGAGCTGCGCCATGAGTGAGCACACAAACTTACAGCCCAGCCGTCCCCCCTTTTTCACCCACCTGTCGTAGCATGAGCGAGGCCAGCATTGTTGCCAGAGGCTTGGTGGCAGGGCTGAGCTGCGCCATGAGTGAGCACACAAACTTACAGCCCAGCCGTCCCCCCTTTTTCACCCACCTGTCGTAGCATGAGTGAGGCCAGCATTGTTGCCGAGTGAGCACACAAACTTACAGCCCAGCCGTCCCCCCTTTTTCACCCACCTGTCGTAGCATGAGCGAGTCCAGCATTGTTGCCAGAGGCTTGGTGGCGGGGCTGAGCTGCGCCATGAGTGAGCACACAAACTTACAGCCCAGCCGTCCCCCCTTTTTCACCCACCTGTCACAGCATGAGCGAGGCCAGCATTCCCGCCAGAGGCTTGGCGGTGGGGCTGAGCTGCGCCATGAGTGAGCACACAAACTTACAGCCCAGCCGTCTCCCCTTTTTCACCCACCTGTCGTAGCATGAGCGAGGCCAGCATTGTTGCCAGAGGCTTGGTGGCGGGGCTGAGCTGCGCCATGAGTGGGCACACAAACTTACAGCCCACCCGTCCCTCCTTTTTCACCCACCTGTCGCAGCATGAGCGAGGCCAGCATCCCTGCTAGAGGCTTGGTGGCTGGGCTGAGCTGCGCCATGAGTGAGCACACAACTTACAGCCCAGCCGTCCCCCTTTTTTCACCCACCTGTCCACAGCATGAGCGAGGGCCAGCATTCCCGCCAGAAGGCTTGGTGGCGGGGCTGAGCTGCGCCATGAGTGAGCACACAAACTTACAGCCCAGCCGTCCCCCTTTTTTCACCCACCTGTAACAGCATGAGCGAGGCCAGCATTCCCGCCAGAGGCTTGGTGGCGGGGCTGAGCTGCGCCATGAGTGAGCACACAAACTTACAGCCCAGCCGTCCCCCCTTTTTTCACCCACCAGTCGCAGCATGAGCGAGGCCAGCATCACTGCTAGAGGCTTGGTGGCGGGGCTGAGCTGCGCCATGAGTGAGCACACAAACTTACAGCCCAGCCGTCCCCCTTTTTCACCCACCTGTCACAGCATGAGCGAGGCCAGCATTCCCGCCAGAGGCTTGGTGGCGGGGCTGAGCTGCGCCATGAGTGAGCACACAAACTTACAGCCCAGCCGTCCCCCCTTTTTCACCCACCTGTCACAGCATGAGCGAGGCCAGCATTCCCGCCAGAGGCTTGGTGACGGGGCTGAGCTGCGCCATGAGTGAGCACACAAACTTACAGCCCAGCCGTCCCCCCCTTTTTCACCCACCTGTCGCAGCATGAGCGAGGCCAGCATTCCCGCCAGAGGCTTGGTGACGGGGCTGAGCTGCGCCATGAGTGAGCACACAAACTTACAGCCCAGCCGTCCCCCCTTTTTCACCCACCTGTCGCAGCATGAGCGAGGCCAGCATCCCTGCTAGAGGCTTGGTGGCTGGGCTGAGCTGCGCCATGAGTGAGCACACAAACTTACAGCCCAGCTGTCCCCCTTTTTTCACCCACCTGTCGCAGCATGAGCGAGGCCAGCATTCCCGCCACAGGCTTGGTGGCGGGGCTGAGCTGCGCCATGAGTGAGCACACAAACTTACAGCCCAGCCGTCCCCCCTTTTTCACCCACCTGTCACAGCATGAGCGAGGCCAGCATTCCCGCCACAGGCTTGGTGGCGGGGCTGAGCTGCGCCATGAATGAGCACACAAACTTACAGCCCAGCCGTCCCCCCTTTTTCACCCACTTGTCGCAGCATGAGCGAGGCCAGCATTGTTGCCAGAGGCTTGGTGGCGGGGCTGAGCTGCGCCATGAGTGAGCACACAAACTTACAGCCCAGCCGTCCCCCATTTTTCACCCACCTGTCGTAGCATGAGTGAGGCCAGCATTGTTGCCAGAGGCTTGGCGGCGGGGCTGAGCTGCGCCATGAGTGAGCACAGAAACTTACAGCCCAGCCTACCCCCCTTTTTCACCCACCTGTCGTAGCATGAGCGAGTCCAGCATTGTTGCCAGAGGCTTGGTGGCGGGGCTGAGCTGCGCCATGAGTGTGTGAAAACAAAGAACGAGAATGGAATGACTATGAACGAAGTGAGTACAAATAGGAAACCCTAATTGGGTTGTACCCCCTATGGGATACCCCACTATAGCCTACAGAAACAAGTAAGCTATAAGTTCTGACACACCCCCATAGGCAAAGTGGGGGAGAACAAGGGGTCACAAGACCAGTCAAGCAAAGCAAAGCAAAGCTCAGGGTGGATCACAAAGTCACCACGCATTCCGAGCACAAGTTCAAAGGCCACAAGGCCAGTTCACATGCAAGATCATATATAGAGATATACAAGAACAAGAGTATATATATGCGAAAGTACAAGCAAGGTCAAGAGGAGAGCAAGTGAGGCAAGACAGGCACAAGACCCAACTGCGTGCAACAACGCTGATGATCACAAGGCGCAAGTGCCTTGGTGAAGACATCAGCAGTGTTGGCCTCAGAGGCCACGTACGCAAGTCGCAGCTGTCCACGCTGCTGTAGCTCACGAGCAAGAAAGTAACGAAGAGCAATGTGCTTCGTTCTGTGCTCCAGTCGCTGCTCTCGACACAAGGCCAGCATGGCCTTGTTGTCTACGTACAGGACTGGAGGAGAACGAGGCTGCTCTCCAAGGTCGGTCAGCAGGTAGGTGAGCCAGCGTAACTCCTGTGCAGCCATAGCCCCAGCGTAGATCTCAGCCTCACAACTGGAGCCGAGAACAGAAGACGAGCGGGTAGCCCGCCACGAGACAGAGCCGGAACCAAGGCTGAAGGTGTAACCCTGTGACGACCGCTGCGTAGCCTGGTCGTCAGCCCAAGAAGCGTCTGCGTGCCCAGTGAGGACCACTGGACTGCGCCCTCCAAGCACTAGCCCCATGCCTGACGTACTGCACAAGTAGCGCAACACCCTCTTCGCTGCAGCCATGTGCTCTGGTCGGTGTCTCCCAGGAGCAACAAAGCGTGCGAGAATGCTAAGAGGGTATGCGAGGTCAAGTCGTGTGCAGGTCATCAGGTACATGAGGCAGCCAACAGCTCTGCAAACGGGCCACTCGACTCTACGGACTCATCCGAAGGCAGAGCTGAGAGCGAGTGGCGAGTAGGCAGAGGAGTGGCCTGAGGCGAGGAGTACGTGAAGCCGAAGCGCTGAAGGACCTGCTGCACCATGTGTGACTGAGTCAGGGTAATGGTGCGGCGTGCTCTGTCCCGGGTGATCTGCAAGCCAAGGTAGCTGCGCAGTTCACCCAGGTCAGTGCACGTGTGTCCTCTTCTGCAGCTCGGACTTCACGTAGGCGAGTCCAGCAGTGTCAGCTGTGGCAAAGACCAAGTCGTCGACGTACACGAGGATGTAGAACGGCGGCAGAGAGGTGTCGGTGCGCAGAAACAGCGACGGGTCGGCAGTGGAAGGAGCAAACCCAAGTGCCGCGAGCGTAGTCCTCAGTGTGTCGTGCCACTCACGTGGCGCCTGGCGGAGACCGTAGACTGGACGCCGGAGACTCCACTGGGTACCAGGAGGGAAAGACCCAGTGAAGCCAGGTGGGCGACGCAGCCAGATCTCCTCGTGCAGGCTGCCCTGCAAGAAAGCTGTGCTGAAGTCGAGAGAGTGCAGCTCGTAGTCACGGTGAGCAGCAACGTGTAGCAGAACCCGAAGAGTGGTCATCTTCGGGGTGGGGGAGAAGGTCTGAAAATAGTCAACCCCCTGCCGCTGACTGAAGCCACGAGCCACGTAACGCGCCTTGAAGACAGGCGGAGAACCCGGCGGCCGCTTCACCCTGAAAATCCACATGCCACTGACGATGTTCGCCCCAGGAGGGGGAACAGCGTCAACGTAGGTGCCTGTGGACTTCCAGGAAGCCATCTCTGCATCCATAGCTGCCTGCCACTGAGAGGAGTAGGGACCCTCTATCGCCTCCGCGTAAGAGCGCGGAGTCGGGATGTCTGGTGCATCCGGGTCTCCCTCAGGGGCTAGCAGTACAGACGCGAGACGAGGTGAAGCGGCGGCCAGACACTGGAAACTCCTCCTGCCTGTCCTCAAGGACGTCCGTGCCAAGGGCACACTCACCCCCGACGGACGGAGGACAGGCGGACTCAGACTCAGTGACAAGACGAGCAGCGTAGTCTAGACGACAGCGCGCAGCAAAGTCGACAAGCTCAGTGACAAGGGCAGACGCAGCAGACGACTCGAAGGACGGGGTCAGTGACAGCAGTAGCCAGGGAGACGCGTGACAGTAGGACTGGCAGCACGAAGGGCGTCCGACTCCGGGTCGGCAAGAGCAGGAAGAGAGGAAGCAGGAGGAGAAGGCAAAGGGGCACGCAGAGGAGCAGTGGACGGACGCTAAGTGACATCCGGTGCGTGCCAGGGACAGGAGGAGGACGCTGACGCGACCCGCGACCACTAGCGCGCTCAGTACGAACAGGCGACACAGGACGAGACGCAGGCTCACGACGCTCAGTAAGACCTCCAGTCGGACCCAGCGTAGGGAGAAGGAGCAGGCAAAGGGGAGGCAGGCTGTAGCTGTGGCTGTGACCGGACAGGCTGCGGACCCTCTAAGGGAGGAGGAGGAGGTGTAAGACCAAGAACCTGCTGCAGGAGCGAAACGAAGTACGGTCGGGGCCGCGCGGCGACGCTAGAAACAGCAGGAACAGCACCAGCAGCCCCCGGCAGGAGCACCCACTCCAGTAGCACCTCCAGCAAGCTACCACCAGAAGCTCCAGAACCTCCAGCCGCAGCACCAGGAGCACTGTCAGTCGGGCCGCCAACGGCAGGCTCAGCACCAACACCCTCAGCAGGACCAGCTCCAGGAGAACTCTCTGACTCAGCAGCTCCAGCACCACAGTACGAGCGCCGGCGGGGCGCGCGCAGCAGCAGTACCCTCTGCAGCCGAAGAACCACCAGCACCAGCAGCACGCCTCCAGCGCCCGGCAAACCACTCACGCAGCTCCTGTGGGGAGAGTGGCTCCCGGCGAGACGAAGCACCCCCAGGCACAGCACCTCCAGGCTCACCACCCCTAGACACAGCACCCCCAGGCACGTCACCCCCAGGCTCAGCACCCCCAGGCTCAGCAACCCCAGGCTCAGCACCCCCAGGCTCAGCACCCCCAGGCACAGCACCCCCAGACTCGGCACCTCCAGACTCAGCACCCCCAGACTCGGCACCTCCAGGCTCAGCACCCCCAGACTCCGCACCCCCAGGCTCAGCTCCCGCAGCAGCACCAGAGTCACCAGTGACCTCGACAGGCTCGACCGCGTCTACCTGGGACACACCTGAAGGGGCAGGACCCTGAGGGGGGAGGGGGACTACCGGGGGGGGACCTGGTACCAAGAAGAGCGGGGGTGGGGGGAGGGACGGAGTGCGGTAGGGGAAGAGGCGGTAGTAGGGTACCGACTCATCGAACGTGACGTCCTGGGAGGACAGAACACGTCGAGAGGTGGGGTGGTAAAACTGCCACCCAGGGGCGTCGGGGGGGAACCCCAGGAAGACGCAGGGAGAAGCACGAGGGGATAGCTTGTCCGCAGACAGGTCGCGAACAAACGCCCGAGATCCCCAGACCCGGAACGCCGACGCATCGCCAACCTTCCCCGTCCACAGCAGGGCTGGGGAGGTCTCCGGTCGAGAGACCCTGGGGTGGAGGTTGATCTGGTGCGCAGCATACCTGACCGCAAACGGCCACAGAAAATGGGGAGCAGCCGCATGCATCATGGACGTACGAGCGACGTCCATGACCATGCCAATGCGGCGCTCAGCAATCCCATTCTGCTGCGGTGAGTCCGGAAGCGTGAAGGTCTGACGGATGCCTCGCGCACGACAGTAGGCACTCAGGAGGCCAGAGGAGAACTCTCCGCCTCTGTCCGAGTGCAGACGCAAAACAGGGAAGTCAGAGCCAAAGCTCCTCCGAAGCTGGAGACGAGCTGCGCGGATCCAGTCGATCAACACCGCAGTGACCTCACCCTTGCTGCGCAAGGGGAAGACTGTGGTGTAACGCGAGTAGTCGTCAACCACCAGCAGGAAGTAGCGCTCCTGACCCTGTCCACGGACGCGGGCTGGGCCCCACACATCCATGTGAAGCGTCTGCAACGGGGCCTTTGTCGGAGGAAACTGGGAGGAGTGAGGGGCAGCACGCTGGCGCCCCTCGACACAGGGGACACAGGTGGGGCCAGGGCCCGGAGGAAGGGGAGGGAGAGACCGGGGAAGACCAGACACAAGGACTCGCGAGGCCATGCCTCTGAGCCGAAGCAGAGAGGGGTGGCCAAGGCGGTGGTGCCAGAGGAGGGTCTCGTGAGACAAACGACGGCACGAGCAGGGGGCAGACTCAGGACCAGACCTGGACGCTGCAGCAAACACCTGACCAGACGAAGTGACCCTACCAGACTCAGCACCTGGAGGAGAAGCAGTGGTCAGAGTGTACAGGCTCGACCCTGGCCGACGTGTAAACGTAGCCAGGTGGCGACCTGTATCCGCCTCCGTGCAGTGGGTCACCCGCTGACGAGCAGGGGTGAACTGGTGGACACCCGCATCCTGGAGGTCAGCACCACTCACCAAGTTCGTCGAGAACGAGGGGAGGTAGAGACCAGTCAGGGTGCCAGAGGGGGCCGCCGGACACGGGAGGACAGTGGAGAAGCGAGACAGGACAGGCCCCCCAGAGGGGTCAGCCAGGGACACCGCAACCGGCCGACTCAGCGGCGTGAGAGTGGTGCGGTCCCGAAAGAAGGAGCGAGACGCTCCAGAGTCAAGGGTGAAGGTGTGAGAGGCCGAAGCCGACACAGTACCTGAGAGGGCAGACTCACCAGCACCTGAGAGCACAACGCACTGGCACCTAGAGCAGCAGCCTCACTAGTACCTGACGCGGCAGTACCAATGCCCGGGTCGGGCGGGAAACACCGGTAACAGTCATCCTCATCACTACCAATCGCAGCATACATAGCAGAGAGAATAGCATCAAAATCAAGATCATAAATAGCTACACCAGCCCTAGACAGCTCTCCCCAGCGGGGGATCTCAGCTGCCTCCGGAAACTGCTGACGCCAGGCGTCAGTCAGGCGGCCAAAGCAGCGGCGGGCAGTGTGGGCGCCTCCACACCTCTCCCCTGCACGGTCACCGGTGCGGAGAACGTAGGGGCAAGGACCAAGCGCACCACCACGCTGACGCTGCGAGTACCACTCACGGAGCTGCTGAGGGGCGGGGACGGGACGGTGCGAGAGCGCTGCTGCTGCTGTGGCTGCTGCTGCGGCTGCTGCTGCTGCTGCTGCTGGCGCTGACCACCCCCGGAGCTGCTCCGCTGGGACGAGCCACTCCGACCCCCGCCTCCACTGCCACCCCCGCCTCCACCGCCACCCCCGTCTCCACCTCCACCTCCCCCACCAGGACCGTCGCTCCCACCGCTCCCACCGCCTCCTCCGCTACCACCTCCGCCGCCACCTCCGCCTCCACCGCCGCCACCAGTACCTCCACTCCCGCCACCCCCACTCCCCCCGCCACCCCCACCGCCTCCTCCACCGCCCCCTCTAGCTCCACCCGCTCCCTTGCCCCCCTTGCCCTTGCCAGCGCGGCGTCTGCCGCTGGGGGCAGACGCCGCGCCGACCGACTCAAAACCAGTGAGGTCGGCCGCAGCGGCAGAGGCGACAGAGGGCAGCAGGGGGGAAGGACCACACCCCTCAAAGATAGGGGTGCGAGGGTCACCCCGAGAGGCCCCTACAGCGACAATACTCTTCTCAGCCGCTAGCAGGGACTCCTCAAGGAGGTCGACAGTGAGAGTGGTGGGACAGACAGAGAGAAACTGGTCCCTAACGACACGAAGGGACTCAGGGAGACGGGTGACGAGAAAGTAGAGAGTGATGTACATGGGAGGAGGGTTCGCAGCGCGGAACTCAGCAGGAAGGGCAGCGCGGGGTAGCGGGTGTCACTAGCACGGAGGTGGGTAACGAGGTCAGCGACAGTGGGAAAGGAAGCGAGGTCAGGGAAGAGAAACGGTAGCATGAGGCGGCTAAGGGTAGCGGAGGAAGGGGAGGAGTAGCGTGCAACTACAGCGTCGTACAAGGCCTGAGCGGTCTTGCACTGACTAAAGTGGGCACGCTCAGAGGAAGGGAGGTGGCGACGCACAGCAAGACGTGCAGCAGCAGCATCGCGGGTCGCCCACTTGGAGCGAACGGCAGAGTCAGCATCAGCAGGTGGGGCAGGGACAGCGCCAGAGACAAAGTCAAAGAGAGAGACCTCATCTATCGCATCACACAGTAAGTACAGCTGCAGGTCTTCAATCCAGACGGCAAAGTCAATGGCCCTCCCCTCAGCGTCAAAGGTAAGAACATTGGGGGTGGCCATGACAGCAGCTGAAAATCTCACCGGGCTGGGAGGGAGAGGCGGGTAGGTCAGCAGCAGAGGAACAGCAGCACGGCTCCGCAGGCGGCTCGGGCGGCGCGGGCGGCTCGGCGGCGGCTCGGGCGGCGGCTCGGCGGCGGTTCGGCGGCGGCTCGGCGGCGGCTCGGCGGCGGCTCAGGCGGCGGCGGCTCGGCGGCGGCTCGGCTGCTGCTGGGCGGCGCGGGCGGCTCGGGCGACACGGGCGGCTCGGCGGCGGCTCTGGCGGCTCGGCGGCGGCTCGGGCGGCGGCCGGCGGCGGCTCGGCGGCGGCTCGGCGGCGGCTCGGCGACGGCGGCGGCGGCGGCTCGGCGGCGGCTCAGGCGGCGGCGGTGCTG